TATGAAAGCATGTATCGCTGGTTACCAGGTGCTCTGTCTCCTGCTGAGAGTTCCGTGAAGTTGCTTTCCTGTACTCCCTGTCCACCTATCTCCGACAGCAGCGCAAGATGGCGAATCCATGCTGCGTTAGTTCAGAGGGGACCTCCACACATATCTCTCCTCGCTCTCTGCTCTCTGTCAGTTTCTTATTCCATTCGGTGCTTGGCTGAGTTCTTTATATCTTCATTTGATGCTTAGGGTTCCAGGATTGATGTTTGTCTCTGTTTTATTTATTCAGGTCTTTGCTGTGGAGGGACAGCGTGGTGCTTCTGTCTATAGTGCCATGTTGGCTCTGCCCTATCACTCTAAAAATTCTTAAAGTCTCTTCTTTTACAGAAATTCTACCTCTACCCTGATATAGTTGGGTTGATCAAAAAATTAAAGGCTGAGGGTCAGAAAGCTAACTTCCTTAAACGAGACAAAAGGAAAGCCTTTCCTGTACAATAAGAAATCTTTCTTTCAAGTCCCAAATCAATGTCTTCTACAGTACAATGAATTTTAATTGATGAAGGTTTTCAAAGATGACATGATAAAATGAAGATAATATGAAAACCAAGTAAATGGAATAAATGATTCAAAGATAGACTAAAAGAAAACGGCATTTATAATACATTTGGTAATCAGTGTATAATTATGTATTTAAATTTTACTTTATATATATATATAAAACAATTTAAAATTTTATCACCAGCTACTTTCACTGTTTTATCACATTTAAACATCTTCACTCTTACCAATTCACTTCAAGCAGTGACTTATAAACTTGCTGAGACAGTAATAGTAATCAAGTATCGTTTTTCTTTTTTCTAGGATAAAAAAAAATTAAATGATGTATTGAAGATACTACTTAAAGGTACTCCACCTCTGGTTACAGTCTTAGCATTGATGATTTGTAGGAATTTTTCCAAACAAAATTCAAATCTTCCCACAATCTCTCTGTTTAAAGATTATCACCTCTGGAATAATTTGAGTGAGTGCTTTACAAACTAAAAACTGATTCACAAGTCCCTATTATCATAACTGTGAAGTAATCACTAATTTTAGTAAGTCCCCTAAATATGTTCTATTTTCAATTTTCTTGATTTTAAGATGTCAATAACATGGAAACATTTTAATAATATAACAGAACATTTAATATCATTTTCCTACCAACACACCAAAGTCATTTAATGACGATTATATTGGCCATTTCCACTGATTGGCAGGAGGTTCTTCCACTAAAGGCTCCCATGGTTTCCACTGTACCATTTTTCTCGCCAGACTTAGTTCACTTTCAGCCTGTTAATAGAAAAATTTGCAAAGATCATTTTATTATACTGTTCAATAGATATTTGATAGCTTATATTTGCAAGTTTAACTATTAGAGCTACTACTTACACATTAATCAATACCTGATGAGCTATTCCACAATCAAATGTTGAATATTACTTAAATAAAATCACCTTAATTCTCACAGCCACACAATCATTATGAGTAAAAAAGAATAAGGTCACTTTTATTTTCTTCTATTTGACTGAAATTAACTATAATTAGAGTGCTGGGTTTGGTTTGGTTTTGGTTTATACTAAAACAGCAGCCTTGGTGGAGCAGTGGTTAAGAACTTGGCTGCTAACCAAAAGGTAAGTAGCTCAAATCTACCAGCCGCTCCTTAGAAACCCAACAGGGCAGATCCACCCTGTCCTATCGGGTTGCTATGAGTCGGAACTGACTTGATGCCAACA